TCAAAGAACGGGTCTCCGACACTTCCGTTTCCCGGCCACTGAGTGTGAAGGGACGCCTGGGGCCACAATCCTGCTCCGTCGCCGTGAAGCGCGATTCAATATAAGATGTCGCAAAGACCGACTGGGGACCGTCAATCCCCGATTGGTACGCGGAACGCCCGCGGGCTGGTTGGTCGGTGATGTACACCTACCCAATTTGAATTACCATGTGAATGGGTGAACAACGATATGGGGTGTGGAATACCTCATATCCTTGAGCCAGAAAGTAGTCCGCCCAACCAGGATCACCATCCATGGCCGCTAAGAGATTCGTACCCGTCATTCCACCGCCATGAAGGAACAGCAGAGGATAGGGCTGGGTGACTTCAGTGGGAGTGAGCCGCTCGACATACATCTGCCCATGGGCGATAGCCGACGGCCCGGCGCTGCTGTACGTCTGCCCAACGTAGAAATAGGATCGAGTGTGCAGAGTTCCTCCGGATGGCACAGCGATGGCAAGAGACATGTAGAGAAGTGCCCAGAGCAGACACATGGTTGAGATGTTGGACGAGCCGACTTCAAGTGATATGCGTCCAAGCTGTGCGTAGGGAGACAAACAAAGATCTCTTCTGTCGGAAGGTCAAACGGCGAAGCTGGAGAAAGAATGTCGCTGAAGCGCTCAGTTTTCGCGCAAAGAATTCGATGGGTCAATGTGGGTGAAAGTGGCGAGCGCAGTGCGCACAGTAGGGTTGCACAGGATACCGCGCCGTCACCCGATATTTAACCGGTTAATAACGGTTACTAACTTATAGACAGGTTTGAAGATGCCTTTCGGCGACTCTTCAAGCTTCAAGGAGGAAGCCACTGCTGCGTCCTTGGGAATGCCGATTGGCCGAAGAGATCAATTCCCACGACGCATTTTCGCGGACTTAGCGGAAGACAGCCCGCAACCAAACCCTATCACCAACCACCACAAGCGCGTATAACAGGAGCGCCTTAATCATGACCGACAACCCGTATCTCGCCCATCTACCGCCGTCACAGCGAGGAGGGTCCTCCAAGTCATCCAAGAACGGGAAAAATGTCGGCGAGAATGAGCCATTATTTGGTTTTATGCCGCGAAAAGTGGCAGGGGACCAGGCGCGGAAAGCATTTGTGCGCACTTGATCCAGATTGTTACATCCAAACTAACGATCTGTACAGGAACATGAACTTAACCCATTCACGAAACAACCGCATTCGGCGCAATACAAAAAGATTCTAGAGGCGCGGAAAAAGTTACCAGTTTACGGACAAATGGATGAGTTTTTCAAGATGGTGAGTACTATGCTGCCCGCCTGTTGAGGAGGGTTTAAGCTGTTCCTTATAGATCCCTCCTCAACCTTGTCCAATCTCTGGCTGACTCATTGTCCAGTTCAAGGAAAACCAAATCATAGTCATGGTTGGCGAAACCGGTTCCGGAAAAAACGACTCAAATACCTCAGTTTGTCTGCTTTTCCGATCTGCCGCATACCCGAGGAAAACTGGTGGCATGTACACAACCGCGTCGTGTCGCAGCAATGTCTGTCGCAAAGCGCGTTGCCGATGAAATGGATGGTATGTGTCATTCAATGATTTACTTTCGCGTTACTCATCATGGACTAGTGCAACTGGGTCGTCAGGTCGGTTACTCGATTCGTTTCGAGGACATGACAGAACCGGGTACGACATTCTTGAAATACATGACCGACGGTATGCTGCTCCGAGAAGCCATGAACGACCCCGAGCTGCAGCGTTATTCCACCATCATCCTCGACGAAGCTCACGAACGCACTCTCGCAACCGACATTCTCATGGGCCTGCTTAAGGATCTCGCCAAACGGCGGTCGGATCTTAAACTCATTATCATGTCCGCCACTCTCGACGCTCTCAAATTCCAAAAGTATTTCGGTATCACGGCCGGAGCACCGGCACCTCTATTCAAAGTTCCCGGTCGGACACATCCCGTCGAAGTATTCTACACGCAGGAGCCAGAGCCTGATTATGTAGAGGCTGCTATCCGCACCGTCCTGATGATACATCGCGCCGAGGAGCCTGGCGACATCCTGCTCTTCCTCACCGGTGAAGAGGAAATTGAAGACGCGTGCAGAAAAATCAAAATCGAGGCGGACGACTTGGTCAACCAAGACCCAGACTCAGTCGGTCCCCTCATATGCATACCACTGTACTCTTCCCTTCCTCCCGCACAACAGCAGCGTATCTTTGACCCCCCTCCGAAAGCCAATTCACCTGACGGTCCGCCGGGGAGGAAGGTCGTGATATCGACGAATATTGCCGAGACGTCCTTGACTATAGATGGTATCGTGTATGTGGTGGATCCCGGTTTCTCGAAGCAAAAGGTCTACAACCCACGGATACGAGTAGAGAGTTTGCTGGTCAGTCCGATATCAAAGGCGTCGGCACAGCAGAGAGCCGGACGCGCTGGACGGACGCGGCCGGGCAAGTGCTTCAGGTTATACACTGAGAAGGACTTTATGAACGAGCTTGAGGAACAAACTCACCCAGAGATTCTACGATGCAATCTGAGCAACACGGTGCTTGAGTTGGTCAAACTCGGTATTAAGGTTAGTTTTCTGGTTTTCTAGTCAGCACTTCGAACTAATCTGTTTCAAGGATCTTGTGCGATTTGACTACGTGGACGCGCCTGCACCAGAAACATTGATGAGGGCGCTCGAACTGTTAAATTATCTGGCGGCTTTGGATGATGATGGGAATTTGACGGGTTTGGGCGCCATCATGGCAGAGTTCCCTCTTGATCCCCAGCTAGCAAAAATGCTCATCGTCAGTCCGGAGTTCAAGTGCAGTAATGAAATTCTGACCATAACTTCTATGCTTTCTGGTACGTCTACGTTTATGCTCCTTGCATTATAGCTCACTCTCAATTAGTTCCCAACGTATGGGTGCGACCACCGAATGCCAGAAGTCAAGCGGATGCGGCGAAGGCTCTCCTTACTGTCCCCGATGGTGATCACCTTACGATGTTGAATGTGTTCAATCAATACATGCTCAGTATGTCCACCTACTCACTCCTTTCTGAATGTTGCTAATTTCCGTTATAGACAAGTACGACAAAAACTGGACATATAACAACTTCCTTTCAGGCCGTGCATTAATGCAGGCCGAGAATGTGCGCGCGCAGCTGCAACGCACTATGGAGCGCTACGAAGTCGAGCTTGTCTCGCATTCGGACGAGAAGAAGCTATATCAGAATATTCGCCAAGTACTCGTCTGCGGTTTTTTTATGCAAATCGCACACAAAGAAGGCGAGAAGGGTAATTATCTTACGGTGAAGGACAACCAGGTCGTGGCGCTACACCCCTCGTGTGGCTTGGATACCCAGCCGGAGTGGGTTCTGTTCAACGAGTTCGTGCTGACCAAGCGGCCATACATCCGAGTAGTGACGGACGTTCGTCCGGAGTGGTATGTCGTTTATCTTCAAAGTTTTGTTGCGCGCGCTCATCGTGGTACTCTTAGGCTTTTGGAGTTTGCGGCGAATTACTTTGACTTGAAGACGTTCACTGACGGGGAGACGAAGCGAGCGCTACTGCGTGTGCAGAACAAGCGGGCAGGGAAGGGTGCGTACAATGGAAGTGACACTAAAGGGAAGGGTGCGTCCAATGCAAGTGACACTAAAGGGAAGGGTGCGTCCAATGCAAGTGACACTAAGGGGAAGCGTGCGGACAATGGGAGTGACACCAGGGCGACGAAGAAACAGAAAAAGAACAAGGATTAGATGCCCTCTTTTCCTTTCGTCGTCTTTTAGATCTAGATATCTACTTTGCTGTACTATACTACTCGTTTACTGAACGCGCTACCTGCGTCACGCTGCACGATTGGCCCTCCGAGCAACTTGAAGGGTACCCAACATAGATAGACGGCATTGAGTCGGCCCCTGGTTGACCTACCTACCCTGCCTCTTAGTAGCGGTACGTGACGGCGCGCCGGCGCTGAACTGAGGCTGGCTCAGGACAAGCAGGGATTGGCGGCACAGAGGCGGGATCAGGGCGGTGCGCCACCGCGCCATATCACGTGGGCAAAAAAGTATGTGCTGAACCAACTAGGGCCCCATTTAATACGGTTACTAAGACCCTCGGGAGGTTTACAGTTTCCTGCCCAGTGCTGGGGGACGTAGGCTCCTGGCTTACTGCGCCACCTGGCACCCTACACGGCGAAGGTTACTGTGCCAGTGCGCCACCCTATTACTAACAGTAACAGTTAACTATAATGCTCGTAGGGCTGTGCAGGATACCCCCAATATCGCGACGTTGGATATTTAACCAGTTATTAACAGGGTTAATAACACCCCCGCTGCAGGAGGCTGGAGGGGGCCTTAGGCACATGATCAGCAGGCACGGTGTCGGCAGGGACCAGGCAGGAACAGGTGAAAGGGTAGCCAGGACTGAGGACCCACAATAAATGCTATTTATACGCTAGAAACATGGCAGAACCCTAAATTGACCCTTTCTGCACCATCGGAGTCAAAAATCTGAGCAGGAACGAGAAAATGCGCCACACAGCATCACGTGGGAGTTAGTAGCCGTTAATAACAGCTAATAACACCCTAAAAATTGGGGTATATCCCACCCATGTTATTAACTGGGTGGATAGGGTGGTGAAGTAAACCCTAGGTTTTGATACACCTCAGGTTTACTGCGGTTTTTAACGGTATTGATACGGTATTGAAACCTTGGCCAAGGGATGGGTGGGTTTCGATACCGACACATGATCATTTCACGTGACGGCGCGCTGGCGCTTAGAGAGGCTGGGATTGGCGGGACAAGGGCGGGATGGGGGTGGCGAGCCGCTGCGCCACATCACGTATCCAAAACACGTGCTGGTATCGAAACCGTTACTAACAGTATCGAAACTAGGGCCTCCCAGGGGGTCGGTATCAATACCGTTACTAACACCCCCGGGAGGTTTACTGCGCCACCCTACCTTTTATGTAGAAGCCAAAAAAAATCCATTTGCATACACCTAGTAGCCCACCGCGAGGGTCGAACTCGCAGCCTTCAGATCATGCCTGCCTAAGCCTTAAAAGTCTGACGCTCTATCCGATTGAGCTAGGCGGGCTGGCAGAAGTTGACACTTTGACACTCTCAACACCCTTCAGCATATTCATATTTGCGATCGCGATTCCCGATCAGTCTCCCGTCTCTTTGGCCTTACACGTCGACAACCTCCAAAATGCCTCAGTTTCCTGCTCTAAAAAACGACCTTTTACTACGAGCTGCGCGCGGTAGGGCCGCCCAGTAACTCACCACGTCGTTTCTGACGTGTCTTGCAGGCGAGAAAACCGAGCGCGCGCCAGTCTGGATTATGAGGCAGGCCGGGCGCCATCTCCCAGGTTAATTCCCATGCCGCCCCCGCCGCGTCCCCGTCTTCATCTCCCTTGTCAGAATTCATGAAGCTGCGCGAGACCCACGGCTTCTTCGAGATCTGCCAGACGCCGGCGCTGGCGTGCGAGGTGACGCTCCAGCCCGTGCGGCACTATGCGGGGCTCCTGGATGCCGCGATCATCTTCAGCGACATCCTTGTCGTCCCGCAGGCGATGGGAATGGAGGTCCTGATGCAGCCCGGGCCCCACTTTACCGAGCCGCTGAGCTCCCCGGCGGATGTGGAAAAGCTGCTGCCGGAGGTGGATGTGAACACGGCTATGGAGCTGCGCACGGTCTTTGAGGCTATCACGCTGACGAGGACCGAGCTGAAGGGAGAGGTGCCGCTGATTGGGTTCTGTGGCGGACCGTGGACGCTCTTCGCTTATATGGTCGAGGGCGGCGGTTCTAAATCGTACACCAAAGTCAAGTCGTGGCTGTTCAAGTATCCGGAAGAGTCCAAAGCCCTTTTGGATCGTATCGCGACGGTTTGCATAGACTTCCTCGTCGGCCAAGCGCGTGCTGGAGCACAAGTGAGATACTTCACTTGCGATGCGAGTTTATGCTCAAACGATTTTTAGCTCCTGCAAGTATTCGATACAAATGCTGGCGAGTTATCACCGTACGACTTCCACACCTTTGCATTCCCAGCATTGCAGCGTATCGGCAAAGAGGTACACGAACGTCTCGGCGCCGATGCCGTGCCCATGACGCTCTTCGCCAAAGGCGCTAACCACGCCATTGCGCACATGGCCGAGCACGCTGGCTACGATGTCCTCGGTTTGGACTGGTGCATAGAGCCCTCCGAGGCGCGTCGATTAGTTGCCGGAAAGGTCGCGTTACAAGGAAACGTGGACCCGGACATCTTATACGGTGGCGTCGAAGCCATAGAGGCCACCGTGAAACGTACAACGGAAAGTTTTGGTGGATCCAAAGGCTGGATAGCGAACCTCGGACATGGGATTACGCCTGGCGCGAATCCCAAAGATGTTCGCTGGTTCTTCGAATGTGTTCATAAATACTCAGCCTTGTAGTATAGTAGACCTAAGATTTGAATGTTGTAGCATTAACGCGTCCCATTGCTGAAAGCCTCGCCTCTCGAGCGATTAAACTCTAAAGCTTACATCAGATGCTCGATTCAAGATATGTGCTGGGACCTCCCAGATGCCTCTAATTTTCCCCTTGTACAATAAAGTACACCCAGTAGAGATCCGAGTCATAAGTCTACAATTATACAATGTAAAAGACTAGGCCAGTGTACCGTATCGTAAGCGTAGTAAACACGTAGAGCAAAACAAACAGTGTAAGATAGGTAAAAATCATAAAAAGGTCGTAAATAAGAACATGGTACTAGTACATGATGGATCATTGTTCTTTCTTGCTTATTGACGCAGCGAGCGTTTCGGTCGGCTCAACATCGGGTAAGGACGACTCCGATGAGACGGGTGAGGATGCGAGTGAGAATAGGTCGCCATCGCTTGGAGAGCGACTTGTACCATCCATACTCCGCGACGTGGGGCTGGACCTTCCGGAGCGAGCGGTAGCCTCGGCCAACTCCCTGCGCAATGTCTCGAGCTCACGTTCAAACCTGAGGCAAATCAGTACACCGCGTCAATTTACGCGCATCGGCAACTTACTTGCGACCGAAAACTTCAATGTAGTATCCGCCTCCATTCCACACGCTGACGGAGAATATGAAGATCAGAAATACGCCACTCCAGAACGGGCTATCGTAGAGGAAAAAGACCGCAGGCACTTCGGTCAATAGCGTATAGACTACAATGTGAAATCAGTATCCATCGGATTATCACATGTTAGGCGCGACGAACAGAGTTGACCAGTCATGAATGCCATGGGGCGATAAGGAGCAGGAATGCTGGATAATGCGCGTCCAATAGCACTACGCTTGTCGTTGAGCATCCATGAGAAAGACGTCGTACGCTGGCCCGACTCGATTTTGTCCCGGCGATCAACGAGGAGGAACTATACTCGCCAATCAGCTCATTTCGCTTCCAATAATGAGAAGCGATGCGTACCTTCCAATACAAAAGTTGCCATATCAGGTCTGTTTCGGAACACGTCAGTAGGACCCTCAACGCGTCAGGAAAAGGACACGCACAAAGACCGCCACTCAATGCTAACGCCCGGATAGGATCCAGATGAGGCAGCTCTGCAAGGGCGGGGAAGCGTGCCTCTGCATTGGGATAAAAGTGGCTATCAAGAACGTCAGTTTGCGAGGAACGTGTCTGGACAAGTCACGAACCGTATCACAGTGAATGTGAAAGGGGCGTAGATATGGACAAACAGGGATGTAACCTTGTCTTGATCGTGGAAGACAAGGCTGTTCCGCCATGTGATTACAGCGCTGGCGAGGGATCCCACGGAGAGGCAGTAGCAGGAGACGAAGAGGGAAGGGCTCGAAGGGAGGAACCAGATGAAGAGGAAATTGAGGAATGTCACAAAGTAGCACATGTCAAACATGAAGTAGTGCCACGCGCGTTTCTTGTATGTGTAGGCGCGGAGAGGCAAGAGATAGAGACCTTGCACGGTATATGCAATGTGTACCCATCTGTTGGTAACGTCAGAAGCGCGACAGAAAACTGGTGACAACGCACTGGGGAGCCATGCCGAACATGAGCGCGGAGAACAGAACAGACATGACACCGAAGAAGAATGATATCTTGTCCCTGGTCCGCACTACTTTGGCTGAGTGCCATTCATTGGACAACGTTGTCATTCGTTTCGAAATCTGGTGAATATGCGAGGTTAGACCGCCACTGTAGATTTATAGGAAGCGCACCTTGTGTTTGAAGTTTTTGATTTCGCGGTCGAGATTCTCTGCTAAAAGATCCCCAGACAGCTCCGATATTTTTGCCTTCTTCTTGAGTCTGTCGCCATGTTTCTGCAGCTTGCGCTGTATCAAGTCCACGTGCGAGTCAAAATACGTCTCAAACGTATCTGGTAGCCGCGCAGTGAGCATCATTAGGACGACCAACGGCGCGAAAAAACACACACCCAGTAATGTGAATCCACTCGACCAATCAGCCATTTCGTCGCGTACGCTTTGCAGGCGTTCTAGGGAGTTTGTGAAATATTTCAGGTTTTTGTTCATCGGTGGGGACGGTGGCCGCGACATCGTGGGTGCAGGCGCGGTACTTAGTGGGAGTATAATGGCAAGTAATGAGAGTGACGCGTCACGCGTCGTTGCATTGTCATATGTCACGATGACGTACAAGGACGCGCACATGCAAAGCTCTCGCTGCCTTCCCCTCCTCTCTCTCTGCCTGCCCGGTTCTCGAAGATATGCAAGCCTCATTCCAGCCTCCACGAAACGAGCTCTCCAAGAAACGTATGCCAAAGATCGTTATCCTGACAACGACCAGCTCGAGAGGCTAGCTCAAGAGCTGGGCGAGGACCGTCTCAAATTGTCCAGGTGGTTTATCAGGCAGTAGGTTCCATTCACATTTTGTGTCGATTCCTCTTATTGTAATAGACGTGCTTCGGAAAGGGCGCTTCTGAAAGCTTCTGGGGTGCAGGAACCATGGCGAGCCCCCAATTTGACACCAAACACGCCTCAACTGGAAGCAGCCTTCCAAGATTGCCCGTATCCAGACGCCAAAAAGAAAACTGCTCTGTCGCGAAAATTATCGTTGCCCATGCTAACCATAGAACAATGGTTCATCAATCGGTACGCACTGGATCGATGTTTGTTGAGTCAATTTGACGCGTGTTTAGGCGAACAGCTGAAAAGAAATATCGGAGACAGGCTAGGCTTACGATGAAAGGACTTATCCTGAATACCCCAATCCGAAAAGTGAAACTCCTCGAGGAACACTTTCACGAAGACATGTACCCAAGCTCTCAAAAACTCACCGCTTTTTCACACAGTTTATGGCTGCGCAAACAAACTGTGAGGAACTGGTTCAATGCGCGGTAAGTGCTCGAATATTGCCACATTGTGTAAAATTAAACAAACGCGTAGCCGAAAGACTGAACGAAGGCGGCGGGCAGAGGCTGGACTTGAAGTGGATCTCAGAGCTTTACCACTGATCCCGCCCCTGCCGGCCAGCAAACCACACTATCAACGGTCCGTCTACTCGTTTAGTATCTATCTAGTGACTGAATTGTTAGCCCAAGACATCCGCCTCTCCAAACCGACGTGTCCATCCTTGAAGAACGCTTTGCGCAAGATCCAGACTTCACAACGTCCAAAGTGGCTGTTGATGAACTCGCCCAGGAATTGGGTATAACCTCTGAGCGCGTCATAGCGTGGTTCTACAAACGGTTTGCGCATCCCGCCTTTGTTATGCTTACCCCCACTGATGTTTCACTTCAAGGCGCAAGAATTTGAAGAAAAAGAATCTGTAGTGAACAAATTGCTGCTCAAGCGATATTTGGAGAGGCTATCACTCGATAATCACCCAACGCCTCGAAGAGGTGACTACTGATGCCTATCGTTTGATGCTCATCGAACGTTTTGAATCTGGTATTGATGCTATCATCAAACATGTACTTGTCCAGAAAAAAACAGCAATATTGTCCTTGAAAGTCTCAAGCAAGCTTCAAAAGTGTCCGAAAGTCGGAGAGCTCCTTGCATCTGCCCATCTCGCAGTCATGCCCAACTTCAGAAAATGCATAATCCACGATACGCACATCACCCGACGCCGACACTATCAAATTGCGCAACTCTAGATCCGC